TCTGGGGTGCTTTTTCTGTGCCTTTTCCACACCTTGAATTTGGAATGGTGGGATGAATCCAGCAGTGGTTGGGTTGGAAGGGACCTTCGAGACCCTCCAGGACCCTCCCAGCTTTGCCACTGCTGGGAGGGGAATTTGCTCAGCTGAATTTGCTCAGCTGAATTTCCCCACTTTGGGGCTCCTGGTGGTTTCCCGGCTGCTGGAATGGGGGAAATGAGGACATTTCAGCTCTGGGGTGCTTTTTTCTGTGCCTTTTCCACATTTTAAATTTGGAATGGTGGGATGAGTCCAGGAGTGGTTGGGCTGGAAGGGACCATGATGGGCATTGCATGGGCAGGGACACGGGGATGCTGGATGGGAATTTTTGGGATTTTTAAACCATTCAGGAACTCTGGAATTGCGTTCAGGGAACGGCTGAGGAGCATTCCAACCAAACCTGTCCGAGCACGGGCAGGAAAGGGTTACCAGGGTCGTCATTCCCGGCCTGTTCCAGGGATTCCTGGAAATCCCTGGAGATTCCAGCAAGGCTGGAGAGGGATGAGAGGAAGGAGGAGCCGCTCGAGCCCGCTCCATCCTGTGCCACAAATGATGCCCAACCCCTCCTCCCTCGCTGATGAGTAATTAGCACACCTGGCAGTAATTAGCTGAGGTGGGAGGATGCAAAGCTGGGCCTGTCCTGCATTTCCTGTGGGAAAAGCTTCCCAGGACAGGAGAAGGGCAGGGAAGAGGCTCTTGGAGAACACTGGGAGCCGTCCTGCTCGAGGAGGAAATTGGATTGTGCCCACTCGAGCTCCTGGAGTGGGGCTGAGCTCGTTCCCAGAGCCCTGGAGTGGAGCTGAGCTCATTCCTGAGCCCTGGAGTGGGGCTGAGCTCGTTCCTGAGCTCTGGAGTGGAGCTGAGCTCATTCCTGAGCCCTGGAGTGGGGCTGAGCTCGTTCCTGAGCTCTGGAGTGGAGCTGAGCTCATTCCTGAGCCCTGGAGTGGGGCTGAGCTCGTTCCTGAGCTCTGGAGTGGAGCTGAGCTCATTCCTGAGCCCCTGGAGTGGGGCTGAGCTCGTTCCTGAGCCCTGGAGTGGAGCTGAGCTCATTCCTGAGCCCTGGAGTGGGGCTGAGCTCGTTCCCAGAGCCCTGGAGTGGAGCTGAGCTCATTCCTGAGCCCTGGAGTGGAGCTGAGCTCATTCCTGGAGCCCCAGAGTGGGGCTGAGCTCATTCCTGAGCCCTGGAGTGGGGCTGAGCTCATTCCTGAGCTCTGGAGTGGAGCTGAGCTCATTCCTGAGCCCCTGGAGTGGAGCTGAGCTCATTCCTGGAGCACCTGGAGTGGAGCTGAGCTCATTCCTGAGCCCTGGAGTGGAGCTGAGCTCATTCCTGGAGCACCTGGAGTGGAGCTGAGCTCATTCCCAGAGCCCTGGAGTGGAGCTGAGCTCATTCCTGAGCCCTGGAGTGGAGCTGAGCTCATTCCTGAGCCCTGGAGTGGAGCTGAGCTCATTCCTGAGCTCTGGAGTGGAGCTGAGCTCATTCCCTGAGCCCTGGAGTGGGGCTGAGCTCATTCCTGAGCCCTGGAGTGGGGCTGAGCTCATTCCTGAGCCCTGGAGTGGAGCTGAGCTCATTCCTGAGCCCCTGGAGTGGAGCTGAGCTCATTCCTGGAGCACCTGGAGTGGAGCTGAGCTCATTCCTGAGCCCTGGAGTGGAGCTGAGCTCATTCCTGAGCCCCTGGAGTGGAGCTGAGCTCATTCCTGGAGCACCTGGAGTGGAGCTGAGCTCATTCCTGGAGCTCCTGGAGTGGGGTTGAGCTCATTCCTGAGCTCTGGAGTGGAGCTGAGCTCATTCCTGAGCCCCGGAGTGGGGCTGAGCTCATTCCTGAGCCCTGGAGTGGAGCTGAGCTCATTCCTGAGCCCCTGGAGTGGAGCTGAGCTCATTCCTGGAGCACCTGGAGTGGAGCTGAGCTCATTCCTGAGCCCTGGAGTGGAGCTGAGCTCATTCCCGGAGCACCTGGAGTGGAGCTGAGCTCATTCCTGAGCCCTGGAGTGGAGCTGAGCTCATTCCTGGAGCACCTGGAGTGGAGCTGAGCTCATTCCTGGAGCACCTGGAGTGGAGCTGAGCTCATTCCTGAGCCCCTGGAGTGGGGCTGAGCTCATTCCTGGAGCTCCTGGAGTGGAGCTGAGCTCATTCCTGAGCCCCAGAGTGGAGCTGAGCTCATTCCTGAGCCCTGGAGTGGAGCTGAGCTCATTCCTGAGCCCTGGAGTGGAGCTGAGCTCATTCCTGAGCCCTGGAGTGGAGCTGAGCTCATTCCTGAGCCCCGGAGTGGGGTTGAGCTCATTCCTGAGCTCTGGAGTGGAGCTGAGCTCATTCCTGAGCCCTGGAGTGGGGCTGAGCTCATTCCTGAGCCCTGGAGTGGAGCTGAGCTCATTCCTGAGCCCTGGAACAGCTCCAAGCCCCTGCCAGGGGGCTCACGGACGCTGGCACAGAGCCCAAGCCCCCTGTGCCTTTGATCTTGGCCCATGGAAAAAATTCCCAACCCTTCACGAGGATTCACAAGGCATGAAAGTCTAAGTAGAATAATAGTGAATTTTTCCCAGGGTGAAAAATTGATTTTCGAGATTTTTAGAATGGGGGCTCGGGGTCCTCGATGGAGGAATCTGGGTGTGCCTTGTCCTTTCTTCTTCTTTTCCTCAGCCTCCATCTTCTGGGTGATGGTGGCACTTTTGGATTATGACCCGTGGAGCAAATTACCAACTTTATATGTAGATCAGCGAGCCATGACAGTTTGAGTAGAATGACAGTGAATTTATCACCGGCTGAAAAATGGATTGTTGAGATTTTTAGAATGGGGGCTTGGGGTCCCAAGATGGAGGAATTTGGGCGTGTCCAGCCTTTCTCCTTCTTCTTCTTGGCCTCCATTTTGTGGGTGATGGTGGCACTTTGGGATCGGTTTAGAGTACTGCAGTTTTTATACTAAAAACTACATGTACATTATTTAAAACAATTTTCCAATACCTGTCGCTGTCTAACATAGGTGATAGCTATTGGGAAGTAATTTTAAATGTTGTACACGTAGATTTTAGTATAAAATGATAACACCAAGGTGGTCAGTGTGCCTGGACTGTCCTGCTGAACAGACTTTAGCAGGCCAGGAGAAAGAATTTTATAGGTAAGAAACAATAAAAATCTGTGAGAACAAGAATAGAGGAGCTCCAACTTTTTCTTGGTGGGATGAATCCAAAATTGTTTGGGTTTGGAGGGACCTTCAAGACCCTCCAGGTCCAAGCCCTGCCGTGGTTGGGAAAAAGAGATTTTCTGACTCATTTTTCTGACTCTTTTGGGTCGCTGTGACCCCAGAGAAGTTAAAATCTCTTTTCCCAACCCGAGCTCTTGAAGAATGAGTCGGAGCTCTTAATTTCTCGCTGTCAATGTTGTTTATTGTATCTTACCTATAAAAAATTTTCTCCTGCCCTGCCGAGGTCCGTCCAGCAGGACAGCCAGAGGCACACTGACGCCCTCAGGGTGGTGTTATCTTTTTATACTAAAAATTACAATATTTACAATAATTTCCCAATACCCATCACTTATGTTTGACAGTGAGCTTCTACTCTAAACCAATCCAAACGTGCCACCATCACAGCAGAAGATGGAGGCCGAGAAGAAGAAGGAGAAAGGCTGGACACACCCACATTCCTCCATCTTGGGACCCCAAGTCCCCATGGAAAAAACCTCAAAAAATCTATTTTTCACCTCATGATAACTTCACTATTATTCTGCCTAAACTGTTGTGGTTTGCTGATCTTCAGATAAAGTTGGTAATGGGTCATAATCCAAAAGTGGCACCATCACCCAGAAGATGGAGGCCGAGAAGGAGAAAGGACAAAGACACCCAGATTCCTCCATCTTGGGACCCCGAGCCCCCATTCTAAAAACCCCAAAAATCTAATTTTCACCCCATGATAAATTCACTGTCATTCCACCTAAACTGTTGTGGTTTGCTGATCTTCAGATAAAGTTGGTCATTTGTTCCATGGGTCATAACCCAAAAGTGCCACCATCACCCAGAAGATGGAGGCCAAGAAGGAGAAAGGACAAGGCACACCTAAATTCCTCCATCTTGTCCCCAAAACCCCAATTCTAAAAACCCCAAAAAATCCATTTTTCACCTCATGATAAATTCACTGTCATCCTACCTAAACTGTCATGGCTCGCTGATCTTTATATAAAGTTGGTAGTTTGCTCCATGGGTCATAATCCAAAAGTGCCAGAAGATGGAGGCCAAGAAGAAGAAGAAAAAAGGACAAGGCACACCCAGATTCCTCCATCTTGTGCCATGAGGCCCCATTCTAAAAACCTCAAAAATCTATTTTTCACTCAGTGATAAATTCACTATTATTCTACCTAAACTGTTGTGGTTTGCTGATCTTCAGATAAAGTTGGTAATGGGTCATAATCCAAAAGTGGCACCATCACAGCAGAAGATGGAGGCCGAGAAGAAGAAGGAGAAAGGACAAGGCATGCCCAGATTCCTCCATCTTGCCTCCTGAACTCTCATTCTAAAAACCTCAAAAATCGATTTTTCACCCCATGATAAATTCTCTATTGTTCTACCTAAACTGTCATGGCTCACTGATCTTTATATAAAGTTGGTAGTTTGCTCCATGGGACATAATCCAGAAGTGCCAGAAGATGGAGGCCAAGAAGAAGGAGGAGAAAGGTTGGACACACCCAGATCCCTCCATCTTGTCCCCAAAACCCCCATTCTAAAAACCCCAAAAAAATCTATTTTTCACCCTGGGATAAATTCACTATTATTCTACTTTTTCTGGCTTGTAAATCCTCATAAAGGGTTGGGAATTTTTCCCTCCATGGAAGGGCCTGTCCTGGCCAGGAATTTAATTCCCCAGGGAATTAAACCTTGTTAATTAAACCTCGTTAATTAAATCTCGTTAATTAAATCTCGTTAATTAAACCTCGTTAATTAAACCTCGTTAATTAAACCTCGTTTTTCTTCTCCTGGCAGGTGTCGGCACCAGGAATTACTACAGGAAAATCGGCTACGAGCTGGAAGGGCCCTACATGGTGAAATGGTTGGAATGATGGTCCTGGAGGACACAACGCTCATCCCGGTGAAATGTTTGGAATGATGGTCCTGGAGATGCCCATCCTGAAGGACACAATGCTCATCCCGGTGAAATGGCTGCAATGATGTTCCTGGAGATCTTCATCCTGAAAGACACAACGCTCATCCTGAGGGACACCACGCTCATCCCGGTGAAATGTTTGGAATGATGGTCCTGGAGATGCTCATCCTGAGGGACACCACGCTCATCCCGGTGAAATGTTTGGAATGATGGTCCTGGAGATGCTCATCCTGAAAGACACAACGTTCATCCCGCTGAAATGGTTGGAATGATGGTCCTGGAGATGCCCATCCTGAAGGACACAACATTCATCCCGGTGAAACGTTTGGAATGATGGTCCTGGAGATCCCCATCCTGATAGGACACAACATTCATCCCAGGAATAAATCCCAGGATTTGCTTCTGCCAAAGCCATGGGCTGCAAAAATCAGAGTTGGACTTGATGGTCGTGGTGGTCCCTCCTAATTCCATGATTTTTGGAAATTGAGCATCATCTCCTCTGGGAAGAGCGGCTCTGGGATCATCCCATTCCCACCGGAGAGCCTGGGGACATTCCAGGTGTCTCCTCACCTGCTGCGTCCTCGGGATGATGGAATTTCAGGATTTGGGGTGTCCTGGTGGGAAAAAATGCCTTTTTTTTTCTGCTGTTTTCAGCTTTTCCTCGTTCTGAGTTTAAAATGGGCTTGGTTTTCTGGTTGGGAATAAATTCTGTGTTTATTTTATTTACACCAGGCTCGGCCGCTTCTCTCCATCCCAAACAATTCCCAGATATGGTCCTTTCCCAGGAGGAGGAATTGAGATCAGGACCTGAGTTGTCCATCCCAAACAATTCCCAAATTTGGTCCTTTCCAAGGAGGAGGAATTGAGATCAGAACCTGAGCTGTCCCTCTGAGGTGACCCGAGCTCTGCACTCCAGGTGGATCCATCTGGGTTGGGATGGGGATCCTGGAGGATCTCCAGGTCCAGCTCCAGATCCATTTGGGTTGGGATGGGGATCCTGGAGGATCTCCAAGGGTGCCGCCATCATCTCATCCCAGCGGGAATTGGGGCTGCTCCGGCACCTTCTGTCCATCCCAGACAATTCCCAAATTTAATCCTTCTCCAGGATGAGGAATTGAGATCAGAACCTGAGCTGTCCCTCTGAGGTGACCCGAGCTCTGCACTCCAGGTGGATCCATCTGGGTTGGGTTGGGAATCTTGGAAGATCTCCAGATCCATTTGGGTTGGGATGAGGATCCCAGAGGATCTCCAGGGGTGCCGCCATCATCTCATCCCAGCAGGAATTGGGGCTGCTCTGGCACCTCCTGTCCATCCCAGACAATTCCCAAATTTGGTCCTTCTCCAGGATGAGGAATTGAGATCAGGACCCAAATTGTCCCTCTGCTTCCCAGATTATCCCGTTCTTCTTCTTCTTGGGAACAAAAAAAGGGGGAATGGGATTGAAGATCCATAAATCCCACACAAACCATTCCGGGATTCTGGGATCCAGGACACTCAGGATCCATCCCCAGGGATTTTTATGGGATTTGGGGATGGAAAAGGGAAGGGAGACCCTTCCTGGAGTCCTGAATTCCCATTGATTTCCCGAAATTCCTTCCCAGAGAGGAGCTGGGATGGGGATGGATCCAGTGCCAGGCTGGGAATGGAGGGAATTCCCTGGGAAGGGGAAAATGGGATTGGGGAAGGAATTCCCAGAGAATCCCTGGGAGTGCCCAAGGATGGGTTTGGATCCCTGAGCCAGCCTTGGGATCCACAGGGATCACGGGATATCCCGGGAATTCCCAAGGTTTCCACACGGATTTGGGAGAAGCCGCAGCTCCCAGAGCACCGGGAATGTCGGCACACGGAGAGAATTCCAGAGGGGAAAGGGTTGAGGAGTCAGGGATTCATGCTGGGATTCAGGGAACAGTGGGAATGGGAGGGATAAATCCGGGATATCCAAGGAAAACGGGGAGAGGGGAAGAGCCACAAATCCCAGCACGGATGGAATTCCAGACAGGGAAAATGGCGGGAATTTGGGAAAACAGGAGCCAGGGAATGGCTTCCCATGGGGAAAGGGAAAATTGGGGTGGGAATTGGGAAGGAATTCCCGGCTGGGAGAGTGGGAGAGAATTCCCAGAGAATCCCTGGGAGTGTCCATGGAGAAGCTGGAGCGCCCTGGGATGGTGGGATTGGGATCCTGGGATTTGGGAAGGAATTCCCAGCTGGGAAAGTGGAAGAGAATTCCCAGAGAATCCCTGGGAGTGTCCAAGGAGAAGCTGAAGCACCCTGGGATATTGGGATTGGGATGGGATCCTGGGATTTGGGGAGGAATTCCCAGAGAATCCCTGGGAGTGCCCAAGGAAAGCTGGAGCTCCCTGGGATGGTGGGATTGGGATCCCGGGATTTGGGGAGGAATTCCCAGCTGGGAGAGTGGAAAGGAATTCCCAGAGAATCCCTGGGAGTGTCCAAGGAGAAGCTGAAGCACCCTGGGATGCTGGGATTGGGATGGGATCCTGGGATTTGGGAAGGAATTCCCAGAGAATCCCTGGGAGTGTCCAGGGAGAAGCTGAAGCACCCTGGGATATTGGGATTGGGATGGGATCCTGGGATTTGGGAAGGAATTCCCAGAGAATCCCTGGGAGTGCCCAAGGAGAAGCTGGAGCTCCCTGGGATGCTGGGATTGGGATGGGATCCTGGGATTTGGGAAGGAATTCCCAGCTGGGAGAGTGGAAAGGAATTCCCATAGAATCCCTGGGAGTGTCCAAGGAAAGGTTGGAGCTCCCTGGGATGCTGGGATTGGGATGGGATCCCGGGATTTGGGAAGGAATTCCCAGCTGGGAAAGTGGAAGAGAATTCCCAGAGAATCCCTGGGAGTGTCCAAGGAGAAGCTGAAGCACCCTGGGATATTGGGATTGGGATGGGATCCTGGGATTTGGGGAGGAATTCCCAGAGAATCCCTGGGAGTGCCCAAGGAAAGCTGGAGCGCCCTGGGATGGTGGGATTGGGATGGGATCCCGGGATTTGGGAAGGAATTCCCAGAGAATCCCTGGGAGTGCCCAAGGAAAGCTGGAGCACCCTGGGATGCTGGGATTGGGATGGGATCCCGGGATTTGGGAAGGAATTCCCAGCTGGGAAAGTGGAAGAGAATTCCCAGAGAATCCCTGGGAGTGTCCAAGGAAAGCTGGAACTCCCTGGGATGCTGGGATTGGGATGGGATCCCGGGATTTGGGAAGGAATTCCCAGCTGGGAGAGTGGAAAGGAATTCCCATAGAATCCCTGGGAGTGTCCAAGGAGAAGCTGGAGCACCCTGGGATATTGGGATTGGGATGGGATCCCGGGATTTGGGAAGGAATTCCCAGAGAATCCCTGGGAGTGTCCAAGGAAAGCTGGAGCGCCCTGGGATGGTGGGATTGGGATGGGATCCTGGGATTTTGGGAAGGAATTCCCAGAGAATCCCTGGGAGTGCCCAAGGAGAAGCTGGAGCTCCCTGGGATGCTGGGATTGGGATGGGATCCTGGGATTTGGGAAGGAATTCCCAGCTGGGAGAGTGGAAAGGAATTCCCATAGAATCCCTGGGAGTGTCCAAGGAAAGGTTGGAGCTCCCTGGGATGCTGGGATTGGGATGGGATCCCGGGATTTGGGAAGGAATTCCCAGCTGGGAAAGTGGAAGAGAATTCCCAGAGAATCCCCGGGAGTGTCCAAGGAGAAGCTGGAGCACCCTGGGATATTGGGATTGGGATGGGATCCTGGGATTTGGGAAGGAATTCCCAGAGAATCCCTGGGAGTGCCCAAGGAAAGGTTGGAGCTCCCTGGGATGCTGGGATTGGGATGGGATCCCGGGATTTGGGGCCGTCGTTCCCCCAAACCATCCCTGATGGCAAATCCCGGAATTCCTCAGGTTCTCCTCACGGATCTCCTTGGAGAAGGTCTGGAATTGCCTTTCCCACCAGGAATGATCCAATTAAACCCTCCCAGCCCCCCCCCCGACCCCTGCCCAGCCCCCCTTGGGCCTCCACAATTCCACAATCCCGGAATTCCGCGTTCCCACGCCTGACCTCGATCCGGGAGCGAGCGCGCGGAGCTCCGAACTTTTCCGCCTCTTTTTGATGGGATTTCAGTCAAAATCGGGGCGGAAACCCCGCGGGGACGGCGACGTTTCCGTGATTGGTGACTCCGGCAGGGCTCGGACACGCCGGGAAAAACGGGAAAAGGAGGAGGAGGAGGAATTCCGTGAGGAAGGCTCACGGTGATCCGGGCGTCGAGACAAAACAAAACATACAGGGATGAACTGGGATGATCCAAGGAAATCTGGTGTCCTGTGGGGAGGGAAAAAACCCAAAAAATGGGGGTTTAAAATGGGGGGAAAAGCCAAAAAATGGGGGTTTAAAATGGGGGGGAAAAGCCAAAAAATGGGGGTTTAAAATGGGGGAAAAATAAAAAACATGGGGGTTTGAAATGGGGGGAAAATCAAAAAATGAGGGTTTAAACCCGTGTTGGATTTAAAACTGGATCTTGTCAAGCCTGGATTGGTCAGAGAGGGATTTTTCCACTTTCTGGAAAAATGGGCGGAACCTTCCGGAACATTCATGGCTGACACATCAAGAGAAACCAAAAAATCCAGGGATGAAATTGGGATGATCCAAGGAAATCTGGTGTCCTGTGGAGAGGGAAAAAACCCAAAAAATGGGGGTTTAAAATGAGGGAAAATCCAAAAAATGGGGGTTTAAAATGGGGGAAAAAGCCAAAAAATGGGGGTTTAAAATGGGGGAAAAAGCCAAAAAATGGGGGTTTAAACCCGTGTTGGATTTAAAACTGGATCTTGTTAGGCCTGGATTGGTCAGAGCAGGATTTTTCCACCTTCTGGAAAAATGGGTGGAACCTTCCGGAACATTCCTGGTCCTGTCAGGGGCATCAAGAGATAACAAAATATCCAGGGATGAATGGGGATCATCCAAGGAAATCTGGTGTTTTTGCAGGAATTTTAT